CTATTATTTTGTGAAATTCTCTGTATTTCTGTGGTTTTCCCAATTTCTTATTTTGCATATGTATTCTTTGTTCTTTTTACTTTTTTTTCCTTGTAGTAAAATTGGGTGGTATTTATTTTTCTCCATGTTTTTCAAGCTTTCAACAATAAACATCTATTACTTTTTATCAAAAACTCTTTAAAAAGACATCATTATGGAATTATAAATATTTATTTTAGAAAACAACATGTGTTTATTGAATGCTTTCTGATTGCTTTCTTTTAGCAAACAAAATATAGTTAATGAATGCTATGTGATTGTTTAAATTAAATACTTTTATTCTTAGTCATTTTTTCCTGTGCCCTGACTTCTTTTTTACTAACATATTCTTCCCGATTAATGAATTACTGAAACCTGTAATAGAGAATTGTTTCCATTATTCTAGCTCAGTTGTATATTTAGTACTTCAACTTGAATACTTGAATCAATTAAATAAAATCTTGATGAACTCTTGCTAGAAAAATAAGGTACCCAAATTTCCTGAATTTTTTTTTTTTTTTTTTTTTTTTTTTTGTGATGGAGTTTTGCTTCTGTTGCCCAGGCTGGAGTTCAGTGGCTCGATTTGGGCTTACTGCAACCTCCGCCTCTCAGGTTCAAGTGATTCTCCTTCCTCAGCCTCCCCAAGTAGTTAGGATTACAGATTTGCGCCAGCACACCCAGCTAATTTTTTGTATTTTTAGTAGAGACAAGGTTTCACCATGTTGGTCAGGCTGGTCTCAAACGCCTGACCTCAGGTGATCTGCCTACCTCAGCCCCCCAAAATGCCAGGATTATAGGCATGAACCATCTTTCCCAGCCTCAAAACAGTTTTTTTTTGTTTGTTTTTTGTTCTTTTTTGAGACGGAGTTTCGCTCTTGTTACCCAGGCTGGAGTGCAATGGCGTGATCTCGGCTCACTGCAACCTCCGCCTCCTGGGTTCAGGCAATTCTCCTACCTCAGCCTCCTGAGTAGCTGGGATTACAGGCATGCGCCACCATGCCCAGCTAATTTTTTGTATTTTTAGTAGAGACGGGGTTTCACCATGTTGACCAGGATGGTCTCGATCTTTTGACCTTGTGATCCACGTGCCTCGGCTTCCCAAAGTGCTGGGATTACAGGCATGAGCCACCGCGCCTGGCCCTTTTTTTAAAATTAATGTTAAACTCACTAGAAAACTCTCTAGAATTGTGTTGAAGATCATTTGAAAATATATCCGCCAACTTCCCCTTCCTACCTGAAGTGTGTTTACAGGCAGAGCAAGTTACAACAGTCTTACTATGCTTTGAGGATAAGAGCGGCTTCCTAGGGACTCTGGAGGCTCAGTTCTCTGTCTGTGATCAGGACACAATACTGATGTTGAGGAAAGTAAGGCCTTTCTGACAATGGAAATTATTCTTAATGGTATTTTTCTGTCTTTTTTAGCTAGATTAGTAACATGTACTTTCATTTTATTGGTGGAAATATTTAAAAATTATTTTTCGGGTGATCACTGTTTATGTAGTATTTTTATTATATTATTTTCTAGAAACTTCACAGATTTCATTTGTATTTTCCCTGTGCTTGAAGTATTGTTTGAGAGACTACAAATTTTCAGATTGAAGATCTTTTTTGTTTTCTGGATTTGTTATGAATTTCTAGTTTCATTGTGTTGCAAAAAAACGTGGTTTGTATTTTTTCCTTTTAGAGTTTGTTGAGGTATTTTTTGTAGCCCAATATATATGGTCAATATTTGTGATAGTTAAATGGCTATTTGAAAATAAAGTATATTCATGTTTTAGGATAGAGTGAAATTAATATCCATCAGAGCTACCAGTTTGATGTTGCTTATGTCATTTATTTTCTTATTTTTGTTTTTTGTTCTCTCAGACTAGGAAAAATGAACTTAAATTTCCTATTATTAATATCTTTCTATTTCTCCTTTTATCTCCTATAATTTCCATTTTCTGAATGTTGCTTCTGTATTATTAGAAGCATATGTGTTCATATCTGTTTTCTTTGTTTTGAATTATAACCTTTATATGATGAGTGACTTTCTTTTTTATACTCTTTTGGCCAAAGTTCTACATTATCTAATAAGAGGATTGTACTCCTTGCTTTTGTGTACTTTATCCTATCCTTTTTTTTTTCTTTTTTCAGGTATATCTTGATGACAGCATGCTTTGTGGGTCAGTTTAGAGCTTTTTTTCTGTTTAGTGGATGAATTAAGCCAGATATAGATAGGAAAGACATATCTTATCTATCAAGACACAACCATTGATTGTGGTTTTGTAAAATTATTTTATGCCATTTTTAAATGTTCGTATATATCTTGAAACTTTGAGTGGTGTGTTTTCTGTGCTTTTTAAATGGTAGTCCTAATATTAGGAAGAGTTTCCTCCCAGTGGTTATCTTTATACTTTTACCTTCATATGATACCTATCTTCTCTGTTTTAAAGCCATCTTTTGTTTCCCTTAATTGAGTAACAATTATATTAGCTTTATTCTCTTCCCTTCTTTCTGCTAGTTGTAGCCAATATACGATTATTTTATTGCCCCTTATAATTTTGTTCTTTCATGTTGCTTAAATTTTTACTGATTGACTTTTAACTTTGACTCCTATCTATTGTACGAGATGCAGTCATTGAGCTTATTCTACTTTTTATATTTTCTCCTCTTAACATTCATTTGTATATATTCATTTATTTGAATTCCTACGTTCTTCAACCATGTAACAGTTTCATTCCATTTGTTTTCAATCTTAAATTTACAATTAAATGTATTGTTGCTCACTGCCAGTTCTTTGCTGAAATTTTTCTGGTCATTTGTTGGTTTCAGTTTGTCCTCAAGTTGTTTCTTCAAGAAATGCTCATATGAGTAAGAGCTGAGCTTTATTTCTGTAGCCTTATTCATGAAGGACTGTTTGGCTAGATGTGGAATTTTTCACTCACACTTTTTCCTTGAGTACATTGTAGTTATTTTTCCACTGTCTTCTGTCATTGAATGTTCAGTAGAGAAGTATGATGCCAGCTTGATTTTATTTTTCTTAGAAGGGCTGCGCTTTTTTGTGTGTGATTGCTGAAAGTATTTCTTCCAAATACCAAATAATTTAGAAATTATTTTATTAAGTGGCATCTGGTAATATTAATAGTGTTTTCCTAGTAGACCATTTTGGTTCAGTTTTATATCTATCATTTTATTTACGTTTTAAAAATTTCTATCCTACATGCTTCTTACTGTGCCTTTGGTGTTGTATATGTTTACCATGTGCTCATTGCATTTTAGTCTTCATTTTTTTTAATTTTTAAAATTCTTTTTCTTCTATTTATTTTCTGTGTTCTGCCATGGTTATTTCACTACAACTCTTGTTGACTGGTTAGCTCCTCTTTGAGTTCCTAAACTTCTGCTCTGAACTTTTTCTTCATAACTGCATTAAAAATTTTTCAATGTGTGTTAAAAAGGAGGATTTTCATTTTCCTCTGCTTTGTGATATTGTCTGCTGAGTTTTCTTTGTCAGAGATGTTGCAGTGCCTTTTTACATTTTTTTCTATAATTTTGTATGGATACTTACCACTTTTTTTTTCTTATATTGGCATGAGATGAGTTTCCCAAACCATCTGTTAGAAGGGACTTTAGGGGCTTGGGAGGAACATTAGGAACACCTTCAGAGCAAGGTAGTTTTCCACGTTTCTGTACTCAAGGCCTCTCTCTTCTATTGTTCTGATGGATTCTTTCTTCAAAATACAGCCACATCTCCTCTGCCTATCAGTAACTTAAGGGGTTTAAATAATGTGAACTACCAGCCATGAGTTCCCCAGGTCCTGACTAGTTCTGCTACCAAGGGATACACTTCCTACCCTTTAAATTGCCTACCTCAAATGTTGACAGTTAAAGAATTTGTGACAGGTACACAAGAGTTCTTTGTACTATTCTTATAACTTTTCTCTAAGTTTGAAACTACTTCAAAAGAAGAAATTATAAAAGAAAAGAGCATGCCTCACTTTTAAAAGAGTAGCCCTTTCTGAGATCTGTCACTTCCAAACCACCCTCCCCACTTACTATCCTGCCACTTTCTACACCTCCTTTCCTTACCTCCTTCTGAGAATCCCCCATTTAATCTCAGTTCTAAACATTGTAGTTCCCACTTGGGATAGGTCTCTTTCTTTCTGGGAGTAAAGATGTGCTATTCCCCCACCAGATTCTTTTATGCTTCTTATCATTCTCACATGCTCAGATATGGCTTCTTACATAGGTTCTATTAGTCTCAAGTACTTTGGGTTATATTTACTTATAATTTGGCATTTTCAGGTTTTTATTATCTCCTAGTTTCACTAAATATATATGGTATTTTTTGTTTTTAACGTTGTCTTTGTTGCTCTGTACAGGTCCTAGGAGAAAGATGGGAAATTTTGGAACTAAACTGCTATTTCGTTCATACTGGAACTTGAAGTCCAGCTTTGAAAATTATTAAGAAATAATTTCTGGGCTGGGTGTGGTAGCTCATGCCTGTAATCCTAGCACTTTGGGAGGCCAACGTGGGAGGATCACTTGAGCCTAGGAGTTTGAGACCAGCCTGGGCAACATAGTGAGACCCCATCTCTATTAAAAAAAATAAAATAAATAATTTCTTTAAAAAAATCCCTTGTTTAAAGTAATCACAGAGAATATTTTGAACGGCAGGATAATGAATACAGTACATATCAGAACTGGTATGATCAGCTAAAGCAATCCTTAGAATTTAAAACTTTAAATGCCTATTACAAAAGAAAAAAGCGTCAGTGACTTAAGCATCATTCCCAACAAGTTAGAAAAATCACGGAAAATTAAATGTGAAGAGAATAGAAAGAAATAAAAGATAAAAGCAGAAATCAATGAAATAGAAAAAACTTCTCTCTATCCTTTAGATAGGGAGACTTCAAAGGTTTTTAAGAAGGATAGTGACATGATCATATTTGTTTTCCAGAAAGAGACCTCTGGCAGCAGTGTGGAAAATAGATAGAGGAGAAAAAACTAATCTGAGAAGCCAGTTAGGAGGCTTTTCAATCACTAGTTCAGGTAAGAGATGGTGATGGTATAATGTGGGATGGAGAGGAAGGATTAAGCTGAAAAAATAGGTTTAAGAACCATGTCCAGAAAAGAAAAAAACAACAACTTTGGGTGTAGTTACTGGTACATGGAACTGATTGGAAAAAAAACAGACCAGAGCTTTACTAGATTTTTGAAGGAATTGTTTTTGCAAACAAACTACAAGCCTGGCATATCAGTCAAGGTTCAACTAGAGAAGCAGAATCAGTAGGAAGTGTAGAGAGAGGGTTTATGCAGTTGTAGGGGCTAGCTAGGCAAGTCTGAAATTTTGGGGGCAGGCTGTCAGGAAGGGCAGGTGAAATTCAGGCATGGGCTGAAGCAGTTATCTGTAGGTGGAATTTCTTCCTGTCTCTCAGGGAAGCTTCAGCCCTACTTTTAAGACCTTTCACCTAATTGAATCAGGCCCACCTGCATTATTCAGGATAATCTCCGTTACTTAAAGTCAACTGATTATGGACTTTAATTACATCTACAAAATACCTTCATAGCTACACCTAGATTAGTGTTTGATTAAACAAATTGCAGCTAGTAGCCTAGCAAGTTTGACACATTAAAAACAACACCTGCCATGATGGCTCACACCTGTAATCCCAGTACTTTGGGAGCCCAAAGTGGGAGGATGACTTGGGATCAAGAGTTTGAGATCAGGGTGAATAACATAGTGAGACCTTATCACTACCAAAAATTGAAAAAAAAATTAGCCAGGTGTGGTGCATGCTTGTAGGCACAGCTGCTAAGGAGGCTGAGGTGGAAGGATGGCTTGAGCCCAGATCAAGGCTGTGGTGAGTTGTGATTGTGCCACTGCACTCCAGCAGTGACAAAGCAAGACCCCATCTCAAAAATAAATAAATAAAAAGAAAAACAACCTTCCACACCTGGTCTGAAATTTTGTGATTATTCAGCCCTTGAAACATCTTTCAGGTATAGTGACTGCCATATTATAAACTGGCTTCCAATGGCATATACTCCAATGTACATTCAGAGTAGTGACTCTGAGGTTTTTACCAGGTATGAATGGTGGTACTGTCAACTGAATATGGTGGTAGATCTGCTATTGCTGGTTAGTTGGCGGTATACACCATGTGTCAATGTGTCCAAAGCTTGAGGATTCTGGGGAACAAATAGATAGACATATCTAGTGTATAGTTAGAAATTTAGTATGAAAATCTATAATGGTGGGAGCTAAAGTAAGAGTTTTGGGATTCTTCAGTACATAAATCCATATTTCAAACTATAGAAGTGGAAAAAATATTTAGGAATAGTATTTAGATTGAAACAGGAAAGAGGAGGATAACGCCATGAAGGAATACTAGCATTAAGGAAGAAAGAACTAGTGAGCAAGTAATGATTATTACAAGGCAATATGAGAGACAAAAAAATGATGTCAAAGAAGTCAAGAGGGGAAACATATCCAAAAAATAAATGAGCTGGGTACAAGGGCTTGTGCCTGCAGTCCCAGCTGCTTGGGAGGCTAAGGCAAGAGGATAGCCTAAGTCCCAGGAGTTGGAGGCTGCAGTGAGCTGTAGTTGAGCCACTGTATTCCTTCCAGCCTGGGCAACAGAGTGAGACCCCATCTCTAAAAAAGCAAACAAAAAGTAGATTATTTCACAGTTAAACAATGACAGCTTTTTCAATAAAATCAAGAGCAAGAAGGATATCAGTACTATGATTTTTACTCACTATTGTGTTTGCTAACTTCTGTTCTTCTTACAGGTTTCAGTCTACATGTTACTTCCTTGAGAAGCAGTGTTTGACACCCTTCTCCCCCAATCCAGCCATTCCCCAAGTCTGAGTTAGGTATTTCTCTTCTGTATTCCCATAGCACAGTGTAATTATTTCCCCTATAATAGCATGTATCATTCTGGATTATGAGTGTTTATTGTTCTGTCTCTCCTATTAGAATGAAAGCTCCATGAAGGGATTGTCATTTTATTCACTAGTGTACCCTCCATGCCCAGCACAACTTTTGGTCATAAAGCAAAGAATGAATAAATAAATCCAAGAGTATAAACATCCAAGTGAGCCTGAAAAAATCAGAGAAATATTTGTAGTAGTATGTGATATCTTAGCTGAGCTTTAGCAAGTATAATGATCAAAAGTTTGGATTAAGAATGAGGCACTTAGGAATAAATGATTTCTGAGGTCTTTATTGAAAGATCTAAGAGAAAATTTAGATAAATGGAACATGTTAGCCTTCTTGAGAAGATTCAATTTTATAAAATGTCAGTTCTCCCCAAATTAATCTATAAATGTAGTTTTAATTAAAATTCCAATTGGGGCCAGGTGTGGTGGGTATGCTGGTATTTCCAGCACATTGGGAGGCCAAGGTGGGAGGATCACTTGAGCCCAGGGGTTCTGAGAAATATGGTGAAACCCTGTTGCTAAAATAATACAAAAAAATTAACCAGGCATGGAGGCATGTGACTGTATTTCAGCTACTCAAGATGGCAGAATCGCTTGAGCCTAGCAGGTGTAGAATGCAGCGAACTGTGATCTCACCACTGTACTCCAGCCTGGGCAACAGAGTGAGGCCCTGTCTCAAAAAATAAAATAAAATGTTAATAGGGTATAGTATAATCCTTGATAAGTCAATATTAAGATTTATATAGAAGAATAAGTGACTAAGAAAAACCAATAGAATTTTAAAGAAAAATAAAGCAGGAATTGCCCTACTTCCCATAAAACTGTAACAGTTATACCACATGGCTTTAAGTGCAGGGCCAGGCAGATTAATGAAGCTGAGTCTACAAATGAGGCACATGTGTGTTTATGGAAACTGCAAATATCTGATGCAGTGTTACAGATCAGTAGGGAAAGAGTTAAATATGTAATAAATTGTGTTAACACAGTTGTTAACTGTTAAAAAAAATTAGATCCATTTTACATCAACACAAAATTTATTTCTAGGTGAATTATAATCCCAAGTATGAGAAGCAAATCTTCGAAATTCTTTTAGTTTTAGAATAAAAATGAGAAAATATTCCTAACACCAAACAAAGTACAAACTGCAAAGGAAAATGCTGATAAACTTGACCAAAATTTAAAACTTGTGTGATGCAAAAGAAACAGTAAAGTTAAAAATATTAGAAAATTGGCCGGATGCAGTGGCTCACGCCTGTAATCCCAGCACTTTCAGAGGCTGAGGCGGGCGAATCATCTGAAGTCAGAAGTTTAAGACCAGCCTGGCCAACATGGAGAAACCCCATCTGTACTAATAATACAAAATTAGCCGATCGTGGTGGCACATGTCTGTAATCCCAGCTACTTGGGAGGCTGTGGCAGGGGAATCACTTGAACCTGGGAGATGGAGGTTGCAGTGAGCTGAGATCATGCCATTGCATTCCAGTCTGGGTAACAAGAGTGAAAGTCTGTTTCAAAAAAAAAAATTAGAAAATTTGTAGCTCATATAACTGAGAACTTTACAAAATAAAAGGACAGATGAATTAAAAAATAGGTAGCTCTCAAAATACGAAACCCATATAGCCAGTAAACACATGAAAATATTCTCATTCATTAGTAAGAACTTGCAGATGAAATCAGTGTTACCATTTTGTACCCATCAGATATGTGAAATTAAAAAGCCTTATGATTTGCAAAGAGTGCAAGGTGAAAAGAAAAATCTAATGAAATGCCAAATGTTGGTGAGGATGAAATAGAAGGAACTATCACAAATTGGTTGTAGAAGTACCATTTGGTAAAACTACTCCAGAGAGCAGTTCTCAACTAGAAGAGATGAAATAAAGATGAAATTGCATATCTTAAAACCCATAAAGAAGTATCTTGCATGTGTACCTGAAACATTCTATGTATTGGCAGAAAATTGGAAACAGCCTAAATTCCTGTCAATAGTAGAATGAATAACAGCACATAAATAGTCATATAATCCTGTGGTATACTCCATAACAGTTCAATGAATGAACCAGATTTATATATGTCTATGTGAATTATTAAAACAATGTTGTACCCAGACTTGGTGGCTCATGCCTGTATTCCCAGCATTTTGGGAGGCAGAGGCCTGCTATTCAAATGAGACCAGGAGTTCAAGACCAGCCTGGCCAACATGGCGAAACCCCAACTCTACTAGAAATACAAAAATTAGCCACGTGTGGTAGTGCACGTCTATAATCCCAGCTACTCAGGAGGCTAGGACATGAGAATTGCTTGAACCCAGGAGGCAGAGGTTGCAGTGAGCTGAGATCACACCTCTGTACTCCTAGTGTACACACTCTGTACTAGGCAACAGAGTGAGACTGCATTAAAAAAAAAATTAGCAGGGCTTGGTGGCTCAAACCTGTAATCCCAGCACTTTGGAAGGCGAAGGCAGGCTGATCACCTGAGGTTGGAAGTTACAGACTAGCCTGGCAAACATGGTGAAACTGTTTCTACTCAACACAGAAATTAGCCAGGTGTGGTGGTGCATGTCTATAATTCCAGCTACTTGGGAGGCTATGGCAGGAGAATCTCTTGAACCCAGAAGGCAGAGGTTGCAGTGAGTCGAGATTGAGCTACTGTACTCCATCCTGGGTGACAAAGTGAAACTCTGTCCCACAAAAAATAAAAAAAATATATTAGGGCTGAGTAAATAGCAAAAGAGGCCAGACTGGTGGCTCACGTCTATGATCCTAGCACATTGGGAGGCCAAGTCAGGTAGATGACTTGAGGTCAGGGGTTTGAGACCAGTTTGGCCAATATGGCAAAACCCCATCTCTGCTAAACATACAGAAATTAGCCGGGCACAATGATGCACATCTGTAATCCCAGCTACTTGGGAGGCTCAGGCAGGAGAATCACTTGAACCCAGAAGGCAGAGGTTACAGTAAGCCAATTTCGTGCCACTGTACTCCAGCCTGGGCGACAGAGGGAGACTCCATCTCAAAAAAAGAAAAAAGTTGGAGCTGAAGTAAATATCAAAAGGGGCCAGGCGCTATGGCTCATGCCTGTAATCCTAGCACTTTGGGAGGCCAAGGCAGGGGGGAATCACTTGAGATCAGGGGTTCAAGAGCAGCCTGGCCAACTTAGCAAAGCCCTGTCTCTACTAAAAATACAAAAATTAGCCAGACGTGATGGCACGCATCTGTAGTCCCAGCCACTCGAGAGGCTGAGGCAGGAGAATTTCTTGAACCCAGGAGATGGAGGTTGTGATGAGCAGAGATTGTGACACTACTCCAGCCTAGACGACAGTTAGACTGTTTAAAAATACATATATATATATAGCAAAACAATATGCTATTATTTATATAAACTTAGAACAAAATTATGTACTGGGTAGATACAAATAAAATATAAAACAGAGATGGAACAAATACACATCAATTTCAAGAGTTTGGTTCTTTTTAGGAAGAAAAAAAGAAAAATGGAATAGGATGGCTGGGTTAGGGAGAAGAGATGGCCCAAAAGGATTTAAGAAAAATATGAGAGTATGTTTATGTGAGCAAAGTGCCTAATATTTGAAGTTGGTTTATTTTTTCCCAGCTTCATTCAGGCATGATTAACAAGTAAAAAATATATATATTTGAGGTATTCAGAGTGATTTTTGATAGTACATACACATTGTGAAATGATTACCGCAATCAAGCTAATTGACATAACAATCACCTCATAGGTGTGTGAGAGACATAAGCACATGAAACTTACTCTCAGAATATTTCAAGTATACAATAATTGTTAATTATAGTCACCATGCTGTACGTTATGTCTCTAAAACTTACTCATCTTATAACTGAAAGTTTATACCCTTTGACCAACATCTCATCATAGCCCTCAGCCCTGGGTAACTATCATTCTCACCTCCGTTTCTGTGAGTTGAACTTTCTTAGATTCCACATGTAAGATCATACAGTATTTGTCTTTCTGTGTCTCGCTTATTTCATTTAACATAATATCCTCCAGGTTCATCCATGTTGTCACAAATGACAGGACTTCCTTCTTTTAAAGGCTAAATAATATTCCATTTTATGTATATACCACATTCTCTTTATCCGTTTGTCTGTTGATGGTCACTTAGGTTGTTTCCATATCTTGAATATTGTGAATAATGCTGCAGTGAAAATGGGAGACCAGACATCTCTTTGAGATAGTGATTTTATTTACTTTGCATATAGTCCCTGAAATGGGATTGCTAGATCATATAGTAAATCTATTGTTGATTTTTTGAGGAATCTCCATAATGTTTTCCATAAATGCTGCAACAAGGGTTTATTAATTCCCAATAAAGTGCTGCTGTGAAAAATAATGAGAAGTATTTCACTGACCATCTCACTTGCTTACATTTCCTTTTTTGCTTTTTTTGTGATTTTGATTTTGCAAGCCTTCTACGTCGCATACTGCACTGAACTAAACAGCCTTTATTGAACTTGAAATCAGCTGGAAAAAAAACTACTGTAAAGGAAAATATTGGCCAGGCGCAGTGGCTCACACCTGTAATCCCAGCACTTTGAGAGGCTGAGGGGGGTGGATCACAAATTCAGGAGTTTGAGACCAGCCTGGCCAATATGGTGAAACCCCATCTCTACCAAAAATACAAAAATTAGCCAGGCGTAGTGGTGGGTGCCTGTAATCCCACCTACTCGGAAGGCTGAGGCAGTAGAATCGCTTGACACCTGGGAGGTGGAGGTTGCAGTGAGCTGAGATCACACCATTGCACTCCAGCCTGGGCAACAGAGTGAGACTCCATCTCAAAAAAAAGAAAAGGAAAATACCAAGTGCAGTGAAAGCGTAAAAGGGAGGGATCCATTATAGTCTTACTGGTTGAGGAACATTTCCCTCAAGAAATGACAGATGGGAGCTAGGTGAAATTGATGGTGGAAATAAGGATGGAAGAGCACTCTAAGAAAGGGAGCAATTCTCTCTAATTGTGACTGGTCTTGAGAATGATCTGTTGGCATTTAATACCCTAACTTTCAACTGTGTAATTAAACTTACTGTATTTTACCAATCTAAGAGTTAAAATTTTTTGTTTACATTCCAACATCTCTGAAATTGGAAAATAGCTTTTTTTTTTTTTTTGAAACAGAGTTTCGCTCTTGTTGCCCAGGCTGGAGTACAGTGGCAATGGCGCAATCTCGGCTCCACTGCAACCTCCACTTTCCAGGTTGAAGTGATTCTCCTGCCTCAGCTTCCCAAGTAGCTGGGATTACAGGCATGCGCCACTACGCCTGGCTGATTTTTTGTATTTTTGGCAGAGATAGGGTTTCTCCATGTTTGGGAGGCTGGTCTCGAACTCTCGACCTCAGGTGATCTGCCCACTTCAGCCTCCCAAAGTGCTGGAATTACAGGCATGAGACACTGGAAGATATCTTAGAATTGATGGTTTGTCACAGTTCAAATGGCAGGTTTCTTTTTAAGCAATACATAAAATACTGATGCACCTTACCATCAATGGCATCTTAGAGTTGATGAAATGTAGAATATTTGGCTTGTTTTGAGGCCAGCCCATTTGCAGCTTAAGTTTTATTATTGTAATTCACAGATTTTAAGACCATCACAGTGGCTGGGCATGGTAGCTTAAACCTGTAATCCCTGTACTTTTGGGAGATCGAGGTAGGTGGATTGCTTAAATCCAGGAGTTGAAACCAGCCTGGGCAACATGGCAAAACCCTGTCTCTACAAAAAATAAAAAAACTAGCCAAATGTGATAGCATGAGTTTATAATCCCGGCTACTTGGGAGACTGAGGTGGGAGAATTGCTTGAGCCATGATCTCCCTACTGTACTCCAGCCTGGGTGACAGAACAAGACCCTATCTCAAAAAACTAAAAAGAACATCATCATAGTGAATCTGATGTTTGTTAGTTGTATCTCCCTTAAGTTGTTGTTTACCTTGTTATTATATACCAGATAGAATGCTAAACATTTTATATTAATAGTATAGTATTGCATGTAAATTCCACCACAGTTGTATAAGTTATAGTATCATCAACTGAAGTGTAGAGACAGAAGGTCACATCGTTTATGTTTAAATGGAGAAGTTCAACTTCCGACTCTAGTGCTTATATCTTTAACATAGCTCTCTGTTCTGCATCCCTTAAGAAGTAAATTTCTGGAAGGCAAATCTTAAGACACGGCAGTTAAAAAATTTATTTTTGTTTACTGTTAAATAAAATGTAGCTTTCCTAAAAACATTCACTGTCCATTTTGCTTTTAGTGAAAAGTAGTCAGAATATGTAAATGGTTGTAGAATTTAGTAATTGTAATTTATTTCTGCAGAGTAGTTAGAAGTTCACACTTTAATATGCTGCTTTGTCAGGGAAAACAGATTTCTAGTAAATAATTTATTAATCACAGTATCAGTGTTGCTTACTTCATGTATTTCTTGAGTTTAGATATAAGATTGCTAAGATTAAGAAATAATTTGATGTCATAATATTCAAATTAGTCCAGAAGAAGATCAAAACAGAACATTTCTTTGAGTGGGGTGAGAATTATCAGCTGACTTCAGACATCTAGGCAAGAACTTTATTAACATGAGGTCAGACAAGGCCAACTAAAGATACCTGGATCAGGCTTACACAGGCAGGCTCTCTTCACATTAGAAAAACAGTATAAGGCCGGACGGGGTGGCTCACACCTGTAATCCTGCACTTTAGGAGGCTGAGGCGGGCGGATTGCCTGAGCTCAGGAGATCAAGACCAGCCTGAGCAACACGGTGAAACCCTGTCTCTACTAAAATACAAAAATATTATATGGGTGTGGCAGCATGCACCTGTAGTCCCAGCTACTCTGGAGGCTGAGGCAGGAGAATTGCTTGATCCCGGGAGGTGGAGGTTGCAGTGAGATCATGCCACTGCACTCCAGCCTGGGTGACAGAGTGAGACTCTGTCTCCCAAAAAAAAAAAAAAAAAAGTTAGAAAAACCAGTAATGGCTGCAGGAATCTCAGTGACAGCCTTCATCATATTTGTCTCACTGTTTCAGTCTGGTTGAGTTATACGCTTTCTGTTTGGTGCACAGCTGTCTTTTCTTTTCTTTGAGATGGAGTTTCCCTCTTGTCATCCAGACTGGAGTGCAATGGTGTGATCTCTGTTTACTGCAACCTCTGGCTCCCAGCTTTAAGTGATTCTCCTGCCTCACTTAAGTGATTCTCCATCCCAAGTAGCTGGGATTACAGGCACTCGCCACACTTGGCTAATTTTTGTATTTTTAGTAGAGACAGGGTTTCACCACATTGGCGAGGCTGGTCTTGAACTTCTGACCTCAGGTGATCCGCCCACCTCAGCCTCACAAAGTGCTGTTATTACAGGTGGGAGCCACTGTGCCAGGACTGCACAGCTGTCTTCTTGAGACCACACTTCTCTGTTGCCCTGGAGAATTCCTTTTGTCTTTCTCCTATAGTTTTTTTTTCCCTTTATCTCTTTTTAAAAATTTTCAGAAGCTTCATGAGAATAGGGTACCTGGGAAGCAAATTTTATATATCACAAAATGTATTTATCAACAAACTTAAATGATTTTGTGGTGGAAATAATTTTTCTTCAGAAATTTGAAAGCATCCATTTTTAAAATAGCTGTATTGACTAATTTACATAGCATAAAATTCACCCATTTTATTTCCTAAGTGTTACCTTGTATAGCATGCTATTCTTGTTTCACAGGTGCAGTATCCTCTCTCAGCTTTCTGAGCATAATTTATTTTGGAGTTCTTCCTGTACATGCTTATGCTTTCCCCAAATTTTTTTGTTTGTTTTGATCTCTGTCTTCCATTTTGGAGGCTTTCATTCAATATCTAGTATTCTTGATTATCTAATGTCTTTTCAGTGGAAGTCTGAAAACACTGGATGCTCTGAAGGCATGGATAGGGTTTGTTGACTCTGAGCCTCATCGTTGGGTGATTTCAGTGGGTTGAGGCTGGGAAATCTACAGTGTTAGGATCCTTAGGTCTCTTCTCTTGGCTGGTCAGGTTGCCCAAAGATAAGTCTTCCAAACTCCTGCCTGAAGGATAACAGTCTGTTTGCCTGCATTCTGGAAGCTAAGTTGGGAGTTCTAGCTGGGGTAACTTCTGTATTCAGCATTTAATATATTGCAGTCATTTAATCTCTTGTTTTTGGTACAATCCTGTGCTCTCAACTGTGTCTAGCATCCTCCTTCCAGGGAGCCTCTGTTTTATCTTTTCCAGACAGCGTGCCTCCAGATTTATGCAAGAATGAACAAGAGGCAGCTGTTCATCAATGTGAGCTAGACAAAGGATATAGGACTCTACCTGCTTCTCAAACTGCTTTTCTCTTCATTTTTCTGCATCACGCCCATCCGTTTATCACCAACTTGCTTACTTGGTTTTCATCTTTCAAGGTGTTGACGTATTTCTTGTTTTATTCTCCCTTCTAGGTTTGTATCTTTAATTTTTAAAAATTTATATAGTAGAGTTTGAGAAAGGAATGAAATGAAGAATGATAAGAGATGCTCATTAGTAATCTGCCATCTTAACCCAGAATCTATTCTTAAAGGGTAGGAGCTTTGTCTGGTTTATCTCTAAATCTCAACCCATAAAGGAATTGTGACATAGTATAAACATAATAAATGATTGGATGGCTAAGTCTTAGATCTGTATAGTTACCTGTCACTGCACGTCAGATTATTCCTACACCTAGTGACTCAAAACAGTAAACTATCTCACACATTTTCCGTGAGTTAGGAGTGACTTAGATGGTTCTGGTTCATGAGACTCATTCATCTTAAGTCCTTACAGGGTCTAGGGGAACCACTTGCAGTATGACTCACTTAATTGGTAACAACTTAGTTCTGGAGGCCTCAGATCCTTGCCATGTGGACTAAGGCTGGGTAAGTATTCTCACTGTGGCTTGCTTCCTCCAGAGCAGGAATTCATGAGAGAACAAGGCAGAAGATGTAATAACATTAAGACCTAGCATTGAAAGTTACATTATTTTTATAATATCCTGTTGGTTACACAGATTACTTAATATTCAGTATGGAAGGGGACTGTACAAAGCTATGAATCCTATATGTCAAGACGCATTGGGGACCATCTTGAAGGCTGGCTACCACAGTTTCTGACTTAAGCTAGAAATAGAAGAGCATATTAAATCCAAAGTAAGCAAAGGTAAAAATAATAAAGATTAGAGCAAAATTTAATTAAAAACTGTACAGAATATCAATGAAACCAACTGTTGGTTGTTTAAAAAATTAGTAGAATTAATAAATTCCCAGCAAGACTAATCAGGAAATTAGGAAAAAGCGGATTACCAGTATCAGCAGTGAAGGGGGTGTATCACTAAAGATTCCTCAGAATTAATTGAAAGATTAATAAAAGAATGGTATGAACACCTTTATGCCAATTAATTTGATAACTTAGATGAAACAAATTCCTTGATAAGCCACAGGTTTACCAAAATTGACTCAAAAAAGAAGTCTGAATTGCCCTGTATCAAAGAAACTGAATTAACAATTCCTCCTCACAAAACTCCAGACCGAAATGATTTCACTAGTGAATATTTTCTAACATGTAAGGAAAAAAACATCATTCTTTCAGAAAATAGAAAAGGCTCCCCCAATCCCCTGCTTTTTTTTTTTTTTTTAAGATGGAGTTTTGCTCTGTCACCCATTCTGGAGTGCAATGGCAAGATCTCTGCTCACTGCAACCTCAGCCTTCCGGGTTCAAGCCATTGTCCTG